TTATTCTCCTACCTGTTGTTTCTTCACTATACTCTATTAAAATAGGCACATATTGTCTGGATGCTTCGACTTGATGAAGTACTTTTTTGAGTTTCATATTCAACTGAAATTCACCTAATGAACGCGCAGACAATTGACATAGTGCACTAACTAATTCAGTCGCTCGTGTTTGTTGTTCAATATATTGTTCTTCAAGATTCACTTCCATTTTTTGCAATAATAATTCTTTTCGGTGATGTCTTTCCTCTTGGCGATGTTGCATATAATATTGAATAAATTTCGTTCCACTAGATACGTCTATTGTCCGATAGAGAGATTCAATTAGATGTTTACTTGTGATTGAATCTTCATCCATTTCATGAACAAACTTAACTATAAGTTTCTGTCGACGAATCCAAAGGGGTGCACGTTCCAATACACGATGCATAAGTGGACCTTTCTCAGAAAAAGGTAATAGATCACCTGAATTGTTGTTTTTACCGATTATTCGATTGAGCTCATTCACATATCCGTAATGTTGTCGAAGCCATGATAAAATTTGAGAAGAACAATTAACAGAGTTATTTGAGTCAATCATATTAAATATATGAGCTAATTCACTATCAATATTTGCAATTTGTTGACGTATTTTATTACTAGCTATTCGTATTTCTTCATTAGTTTCTCGACTATTGCTTCTCGTTGTTGGTATTTGAGCTATAACATCAATATCAACTTTAATGTCATCAAGAGCTTTTCGAAATTCATTCTCAATCATTTGACGTGTTATATTGATAGCTATATTGTTCTTATTAAAATCACTTAAGAATTTTTCTGCAAGTGTATTTTCTTGTTGACCTATTGCTACTTCATCTTCTTGTGATATTTCTGTTACTTTAGTACTCATTCTTTTAAGATTACGTTCAAGTTGAACAACTTCCTTGATACTATCACCCAACTGTTCATCAGCAAAACGCTTCAAACAAAAATCTAAATCGACGTCCATTGAATATACAAATAGCAATTATTCTAAAATAAAAAAATAAAAAAACTTTAAAAAAATGGCAAATATACCCGATGACGATTTGTTTCTTATATACATAATATGATAAGCTAAATACACTCACCTTTACCTACGGAGAAGGTGTCTCGATGCACAAAGATCTTTTTGTCTAATTCATATTTGCACACTGATATTTACGTGAAACGTTAGCAATCTAAACCAATTCACATGGCTGTGTTGGCGTATTTTATCTTTTGACTAAAGAATTTGAAAAACACTATAAAATGTCTAAATAACCTGTCTTCATCAAAACAATGCATTACATTTGCTTATCAACTTTGTTGTTGACTTGAATTTTGATGAGTCCTATTAATCATCATTCATTTTATATGTATTGTATGCTAATATTTGCAAAAGAAATCAACACTCAAAGTTATCAGAACTTCATTGATTTAATGACAATAAAATGATGTTTATGTCAAAAAAAAACAACAACAATTGACAATGGCCATATTTGAATGTTTCTAATGTGATAAAAATATTATTGTTCTCATGTTCAAACTACAAATAGTTTATGTCTGAAGTCTACAAGCATAATACTTTTAAAGAAATCTTCCATGTTATCTCGTTTATTGAATGTAATAAAATGTAACACGATATGTACTATTTGACAACTACCGAGAAACTACCACTGATTATCGATCGATATAATATAAGGCGGTTAAGGCTGACGAAATTGAGTTGTTTTCGATATGTCCTAGCAGTGTGAATGTGCCTGAACCACCAGTACTAGTCATTCAGCTACAATGGGTTCCAGTTATGAAATATATTTTTATTATAGATGATGTTGCAAAAATCTTTACTAGCTAGTAAAATATATTGTGAAACTGTTTTTTTTTCTCGGCTAATTTGAATTCTTTCTAATAAATAATTCGAAATTGTGTAAACAGCACTCGCTACAATTTCTTTATATCTAGAATGGATAATCATAAGCGCTATCACCAACAAAACATCGGTACTGCAGCGGTAGTAAGTATCAATATACATCATGGGATGCCTTAAATACTGAAAAAAATCCGCAATAAAAGAATTGAAAATGATGATATTTGGATAGGGTTTTTCTGAATTCTTCTTTTCAATGAGAACTATCTCATCATTTGTTCTTTATCATAGACTCTACCTTAGAAACTTCGCTTGTTCATACTGTTAATAACTGTTTTTATAACGATAACCTATGCTGAACGTGTTGACAAAAATACCTGACATAACTCTTAAAGTTTAATTTAATAATTAAATTCAAAAACTTCTTTTGAGCTTAAGTTTTCTTTCAAGTTTTTTTTTCCATAACTGAAAACCTCGTATGCTTCAGTTTGCTTTTGTGTGTAAAATAAGAAATAAATGAAATTTTTCTATGACAGATTTACCTATTTATAATATATAGAATATACATAGACTCAACTAAAAAGAAATCTTTACTCTATATTCATTCGAAGTTTTGTAAAATCTTGTATGAACTTGTTATGAAATTTTTCACATGAGACGTTTAAATGAAGAATAGGTTACTATAAAGTTGCCTTGGAAAAGATTGTTACTATTTCATTTTTGCAGAAAAAAATGCAATTCATTTTTTTCTCTATAAATGCAGCATTATTGTTCAATTAGAGTCTTCAATAAAATAAATTATCAAGAAAAGTGTTTGAATATCTTTTGATGCTGATTGTGAATTAAATTTTAGCATACAATTACTCGACAACTGGAAATATCATGAAGACTTTACACATTCATCTTCACAAACATATGTATATATATTGAATTAACATGTGGAATACTTGATTAAATACACACGACTTTAACTATTCTACGTTTGGGCAGCAGCTAAAATCATATAACATAGTTCTTTGATAGTATTTTTCTTTCAACAAACATGCCTAAAAATGAGTGGAAAGGAAAACATTAGGCAATATTAAAGAAGTCACAAAAAGACGATAAAATAAACATAAAACTAGTTATTTCTCTCACTTGTTTGATTATATTAGCTACAAAGCTTTATCTTACTGATTTTTGCCCTCAATTCTCTATTTTTGTTTTGTCATAATTGTGTTTATTGTAAAGAAAACCTTTACTTTTGCCACTTTATATGATTCGTCTTCATCTCTGTTTTAAGTTTCTTATTCTATCTGTTAATTATGACGTGATCAAGCTCTTTGTCAAGCAATCTATAACCATATCATTATTGTGATTCTCCTTTTTTTTATCGTGTCTTCAACCTAACAAATAGTATCTAACAGCTGTATTAGATATGAACATGATTGTGACTTGCTAATTAATCTATTTGTGAACAAACTTTGAATTAATAGAATCAAAAAAAGTCTTATTTTAATGTAGTATGTGTTGGTTTAAGATATAATGAAAGAATTGATGATATTTGAGAAAAAAAATTGCACAAAATGTTTAAAAAAAGCTCATTTCATTATATAGCTTGGATCAAAAAAAAAATGCTCAAAGTATAAATAAGACTGATAAGAAACAACTATTGTACTTGATCAACTGAGCAAACATTTTTTTCCAATGTATTTCGAAATATCAAAAATTAACAATCGTTTCCTAAGGTCAACTTTCTAAATAGATACCTCAATTATCTGATATAGAAATTTGTATTGCTGATAAAGAGTATATTCTTTTTTAAAAACTTGATCAAAATCAATTTAATAATTTTAATTTCGATAAATTTCTGAGAACAGTTCAAGCGAAAACAGCAGTTGATATTGTCTTGATAAATAATACTACTACTGAATCGAAATAGAGAAAGAAAATTCATTTGAGCGTTCTATCACTAACTTCAAACTTTAGGCTGTTATTAATTTGTCAGAAGAAAATGGTATTTTAAGAAATATTTATTATAGATATATGGATTTTATAAAGGTATATAACAGAGTTGTGACCAATCAAGAATTTTTGAACTGATTGGACTCGGTCGGTTCAAGAAATCGTTTAAACCAATGTAAACTAGCGAGTTTGATGATTTAGGTATCTATTAATAGTAATGCCTTTCTCAAATATTAATCTTTCTTTTTGCACTCAAGTTTTTACAAATGTTCAGGAACAAATATCATGTCATGTTGTCCTTTATATCTGTTACTAGATATAGTACGAAAAAAACGAGTCATTTACCTATCAACTGATTACTTAACTTGAATTTTCTCATTCAGCCTTTTCAGAAAAAGTCAACTTTTCTTTTCAAATAACGATTCAAAACCTTTTTTTTTGATATTTACCAAAACATATATCACAGAAGTTTCGCTGAAATAAAACGATTTTGGTTGTGCTTTTTAAAAAACTCAAGCAAACTTCGATTAAAGAAATAAAACAGTATGGCTGAACAGAAGAAAATAAAATTGATTCTTCTTAAAAGAATATTGTCAGATCATTTTCAAAAGAAGCAAGTAAACTTGCTAGCAACAAGTTTTATTAGAAAAAAATAGAATACGTATCAAATAGTTTCCAACTGGTTCGATTCAGACCCATCGGATTGGTTACAACTCTGGTATACAATTCCTTATTTATGCTGAACATCTTCATAATGATTAGAAAAATAACCATTTGAATGATAGGCTTCATAATATAAAAAAGAAAAAAACAAATATAATTCTGATGAATTAATGGATATGATTTCATTAAATTAACTCTTATATGTTTTTAAAAACAAACCTTTTTCAATAATCAAATTTAAGTACTGTATCATTAATCATCACGATTTTATATGATGAAAGTCTTATCATAGTATCATATGCAGCGAAGAAAAAAAACCAAACGAACTTTTCTTCTCATTTTTCACCTAAGTCAAATATTGACTTATACTTTCATTCGGTTTTATTTAAGCAGACAAAAGATACGCGTATCTTTTATTGATTGATCGTGTGTTTTTTACCTGAGTAAAGACCATGCGGTCAACTGTTTTTGTCATTAGTATATTATTATGTATTTATTATCATTTATTTAAATATTGGATATTAGAACCATGGCGTATTCACAAAGATTTATGGCACAAGGTATTCCAGGACAATATACAACTATTGTAGGTGAAATCCTTAGTCTACGTCGTGCGACTCTAGCTGGACATTTTTTCTCTCTTGTTCTTAAAACATGACTAATAGATATGACAGTTATTATCATGTATCATTAGGTTCCGTAGCTTTGTTTTATTGTCAATGATCTTTTATTTATTCAAGGAGTATTGAAAATTAATTCTCATTTTTTATACCAAATCTAATTTGATGCGATTAATTCTGGGAACATTGTTAGGTTATGATAATCTTTTAATGACTGAAGATAATATTCATAGTCAACATTGACATCTTATTGCACCTATTTTTCAAGATCAAAATATAAATTCAATGATTTTACTGATGATTGGAATAACATCGAATATTCTTCATTAATGGAAATTAGCTTTTAGTGATGTCAATCATCTAGGAAAAGATTTGACTCTTAATATTCACAATGAAATGACACGTTTAACATTAGATATTGTAACTGAATGTGTATTTGGAATTGGTTTAATAAAAAGTGAAAATTTTCGAGAATTTATTTATCAAAATGTCATAACAACATCATAGAAGATGTTGAAAAAAAGAATGCTTAATATTAATGATCTTTTCTTTATACGCCGGACTTGATTTACTTGATATAGATGAAGAGAAGATTACAATATGCACGCCTTACACGAAAAAATAAAGAATATCTTATCAGTTGAAACTTTCGATATTTTGTCTTTTCGGCAGCTGTTCCATACACCTGAAGTTCAATATCTATAACATTCGGAAAATCTAACAAGATTTATATTAATTTTTCAAAAGCTAACTATCCGCTCGTGTAACATAATCTTGAATTATTTGAACATCATACTCATATTCAACCCATTTATTCTACTTTAAAATACTTTTCAAAACAAATTGAACTTGGAAATTTCGCAGATATTTCTGTGAATAAAAAGTAAAATATTCCTAATAAGTGTCTGAGCATCCATAAATATCTAGTCTTTTTTCTCTCTTCGATCCAGATTAGTTCAATTTTTACAGACTCTTTTCTCTTTATCTGGGTGTCCTTTATGAAAATTCCTTATTGCTGATCATAATTCTTACTTATACAGAATTTGTTTAAAAAAAAATTTGATATTTCATCAATCTGTACCGTACATTGTTCAAAAAGCTATTGAAGATAATACATTATTAGCTAGTGATGAAAAACAGATCATGTTAAAACAAGGTACTAATATTATGATAAATAATTTTATTCTTTATCAATAAGTAGATATTTATATTTATTTTCTCATGTTTTTCTATATGAATATTTTGTAGTTCAGACAAATATTCGAAAGAATCATTCAAATTCGATCTATCAAGATTTGAGAAATCTTATTTTGATACATTTTTTACTATTTTCAACTGAACCATGTTCACGTATTGGAAAAAATTTTATTATGCTAGAAGCAAAAATTATCTTAGTAATGATAAACAAAAAAAATTTCGTTTTCAATTTGCGTCCGGTCAAAAACATGTTCCGGAAATTATTATTATTATGAGGAAAAAAAATTTTTATGTAAAATTTTTCATTTCTTTTCTTTCTCTTAAACAATATCATTTTAGACCAAAATATTGAATGTGAATGAAAATTTTATTTCGAGAACAATCATAAAAAATATATATATCTATATATACGATCTTTTTTTTTAATGTAATAAAAGTTTTTAAAAAATCCTTCAAAAATGTTAATGTTGAAATTTACTTGTATATAAGTGAAACATTGATTGCTAATAGAAATATAATTTCATATTGATATACATAACATATATAATGATAGATATATAATGAAGATATCTACGAAAGATATACTGTAAAATTCAAGGGTGTACGAGACGTTTTGTGTGAAAATGACCTTTTAGATAATGATCATTTCATACATGTAGCGATATCTAGTGGAAATCGATGTGGATAGTTCAACTATTTAATAAAGACATTATTGGAAAAACACGAACGAACATACATATATATTGATAATCATAACGAACTAGTTGTTTAAAATATTCGAAATATGAGTGAATTGTTGTTAACATCATCAAATGATTCTTTTGAATCATCATTTACAGAAAATACAAATGAAACATTCGACTCGTATTCATTATTATTTGATAAAGCTAAACATAATTTTTCTACAAGTTCAGAAATTTCATTTATTAAACATGATTCATTACCATTAGATCAAAACCAAACAGTTACAAAAGAAACATTAACAACAATTAATGATCCATTAAACGAAAATTCTATAAATTTTAATCCTTGGTTTTTATTATTTACACAAGATAATGAACAACAACAAACAGTAAGTGTTTTTTAAATTTTCTAAAATTTCGTAATTTTCTTTCAAAAAGTTTACTATGAAAAATAAAGAATAAAAGTATCCATTCATTTTAATTACTATCTATAGTATTAATAGTCAAATGCATTTATGATTGATAACATTGTCTCGATAAATGTACTAAGTTTCATATGAATACTGATTGAACTTTGTAGGATCAAATAGAAACAAATGTTAAAACACCAAAAAAAATATTTAATGATAATGATCAGCAAGAATCACATGACATAAAAGGTAAAAGCAATAATATTTATAACAAACTAGAATATAATTATAATTACTATTATTCAGAGATACCGTGGGTAAATATTTTCCAAGGTGAATCAAAAAGGAAGATACTTTTGAATAATCAACAATATCAATCGAAAAGGTAACTTGTATCTATTGACATATTTTTTTATTTTTCTTTCCTAAATAATTTTTGCGTTCTCTCTATCTCTCTCTCTCTCTCTCTCTTTCTCTGTGGGTCTATCAATCGGATATGATTTCGCTTGTATACTTGCTTTTCTCGATGGAAATTACCTTTTCTATGCCCTGTCTGTATATTCACATGATTTTATTTCCCCTTTTCTTTTTTCTTCGTCATTTTTTCTCTCTGTTCTTCTCCGTTGGTCGTTGTTATAAATATATCGAGACAGTATGTGAACTTGCTTCGTCCGTACAAGCATATCGTGATCATATTTATTTTTGCTCACACCGTCGTCGTCGACGGATAACAGCATTTATCCAGTTGATTTGGATAAAAATGGATTCTTAGTTGAAAAAAGAAAATGTTAAAACATATTGTTCATTCTTATCATGGAAAACTTCATACATTCGATGATTTTTATCGTGATAGTTCAAATCCAATAAAAACTCGTTCATCATCGAATGATTTAACATCAACAAATAGTTGTTCACCATCATCTCCAACATCTCCATGTTCACCAAATAGCGCTCCATATACATTTTATAATGTTTTTTCTGATTTTAAATATTCAACAACACCAGATGTTGTACCTGAAGAAGATGAAACTGAAGATGATAATGAAATAATTGAACAAGAATCTAATTCTACACCAGCTGTTTTTTATCTTGAAGATGAACACCATAATCAACCTCAAATATCATCCTCATCTTCTAATCGGTCTTCATCAATTCTTAGTCGTTTTCGACATTCAAATAATAATAATAACAATAATACTACTAATAATAATAATCATGTTATGGTTAAACAAATTTCAGTTAACGAAAATCAAATGTCTTTAACAAAATCACGTAAAAATGATTTTATTGATTTATCAATAAATAAACATCGTTTTCTTAAACGTTCAGAAACAACAACACATACAAATGGTTTAATAGATAAAAAATTATCTGCTAATGATGATTTTTCAGAATTATCATTGTCACCAACAAATGATATTGTTAAAAAACATCGTTCATTTGGTTCATTATTTAATTATTTTCATCATAATCATCATCAAAATTTATCAACAAAAAATTCTGATAAATCAAATTTAACAGATACATTAAATTTAGATAATCGTAATTTAAATAATAATGATTTTTCACGTTCAAAAATTATTAAACAAAAAACTTTGCCATTAAATAATGAAGTATATATACCGGTGAATAAATCTCCTTCAAAACCAATTTTACCAAAACTTGCATCTCTATTTCATCGTCCATCATCTGAACAGCATAAATATCGTGTAGGAAATATAAAAGCACGTCTTCATCATCGAAGACATTCACCACCATTAACAAATAATGCACCTAAATTTCAATGTCAAGATTCTAATGAACTTATACAAGAAATAAAACGATCAGAAGATCAACAATATTATGATAATGATCATATTCCTTATCAACGTCCTGTTAAACCAGTAGTTATGAAACGTGTTCATACATGGCATAATACATTCGATTTACGACCAGTTGATCAGTGTCTTGAATATTGACTTCCTTCTTATTCTTGTTATTCTTCTTTTTTCCTCTTTATATATGTCTTGTGCATGTGTTACAATTCAATAATATACCTTATTCTTTTTCTTTTTCTTTATGTAGAGATTCTTTGAAAAATCGACGAACAAACCATAGTAGTGATGATGATCAAGCATTTGAAAAATGTAATTTTTGAATATAATTTTCATCATTTAAACAGAATCTTAAAAGTTGAATGGATAAAGGGGCGAGAATAATAATGAGATGCACGATCTTCAAGTAGACTTGAATTAGTTATGATTCTTTTATCTAATGTAGATATGTACAGAGTGAACTTTATTTGGTTTATATATAAAAGAGATAGAGTTTGAACTGATTTGATTATGTGACTTATCCAATATCGATATCACATTCGATCTGACGAGAAAACGTTTCTAAATGTCAGATTACTTTTCAATTGGGACTATGGATATCGTATAGATTCGAATGAACTTATGAAGATTTTGAAAAGAGTTCACACTAATAGCTTATTACTACCGAGATACTGTATTTTCATCGTACTTTTTAGCAGAATGTCCAGGTCTCCCTCATGAACACAAAAAAAAAACTAAATTTCCTATTTTGACTTGAAACTTTGCATAGAGATCGGTCTTGATGAGAATAGCGTGTTGTGAATATTTATATTTTATTGATTGCATCTATTATGAAATAAAAACGTCGGAATTTCGTGTTGGGATATGAAAAGCGTGACTAACATGCTCTTCATCATAACCATATTTTAAAATAGAAACAATCGAAATATCGAAAAATTTTATAATAAACTATTCTCATTAAAGCCTGTCTCCACGCAAAGTTTCAAGTCAAAATTCGAAACTCAATTTTCACGGTGTTCCTGAGGCGAGTCACGGCATTGTGATATTAAATATAGTATCTTAGTCGTAATAAACTACGATGCCTGAATTGTTTTCAAGCTATTCATAGCTCATTAGAACCTACATGATGTACATTGTCCTGACTCAAAAGCAATTTGATACTTAAAAACATTTTCCAGAGAATATCACAAATATTCTAGTTTTCATAGGAAAAAATCAGTTATTCGTGCATTCTTATTATTTTTGTCAACGTTTCACTATAGAATTTAGATTAAAAATGTTGAAAATTTTTTATTTTATCTCATAGTTTTACAAGAATATCGAACGCCAAAACCGGTTAAATCTGGAGAGAAATCACCGATAAAACAAAGAAAAAAGAATAGAAATAGGTACTGATTAAGCAC